ATGTGGAGAATAGGTGTGTTTGAGCTCTGGCCTAATATCTGACCGAAGATTACGATCTCCAGAGGTAGCCAAGTTGGATGACCTAAATTCATTAGGCATTTTATATTCAATGCTTCTCATTTTGTTACTAACTTATCAACTGATAATATTGAATTATTACACTTTAATTAGCAATTTATCATAACCTGTTTTTAATGCTCAGTGAATATACAATTAATCAGAATATACTTATCAGTCGCACTTGTACGAGTTTCGTTTAAAGACATGGTATCATCTGTTGATATGATCAACTAACTCCTGTTGTATTTAATGTTAGTTCAAAAACAAAAATACTTTGAAATATACAGTGAATGCTAAAGATGGACTAGGCCTTCACCGTTGCCAGGGATTTTAAATCCCCATACACTTAACCTAGATTTGTTTGCATTTTTATATTTAATTTATCACTAAGTTCATCATCATTATTAGTCGAATATTTCTTGTAGCAATTGATATAGTGAATGTTTACTCATTCTCACAGTTTCTTGAACAGCTTCCAACTCACCAAATTTATACTCATCCATTCATTTTTGTTTGTATGAAATCATGTTTGAGTTGAGTTGTTGATAGATTGTTCTTTAATTTCTATAAATATCCTTATCTAAATGTTTTATTTAAATACTTAGCAATATTTTTTCATGTACCGACTGTTTGACTTTGTTTAGTGTATGTTATTTAAATACCAGCTTGTTAATTTTTGTTGCTGCCTTTGTTTTAATGTCACCATCTTGAACCTAAAAATGCACGTCAATCTAGAGAATGTATTGTGTAATACCATTTCTCCCCCAGTATTTACTTCATTACATTTCTTATTCTGAATGTTATCATTTTCATCAGATCTATTACTATCTCTAGAAGTAATATTACTTGGAGCATCATCTGTGGAATAAAATAAAAATTCGAATAACCACTCCAAAACATGAATGATGCCTTGATCCGACAATTAAATTAGTGTAACGGTAAAAGAGGAATCATTTCAGATTCATTTTGTATTTAAATTGAATTAGGATGGACCTTTCTATGAACATTCAAATCCAGTTGGAAACGGCATACGAGTTTTGACACGTGAATATTTTTTTCACTACCAGATGATGATAATATATTTATGATAAATTATTGATTAAACTATAGTAATCAAATGCATTTGTTAATTTGGATATGAAGTGCTCCTAAGCACCAGGCACTAGAGGTCACTCGATCAATTTGATTGTGCCAACATGAGGTCGTCATCTGGGTTTACATGTTAGGTACAATTCTAAAGACATCTGTCCCCTCACTTAAAACTGACATAATTATCTGGCATACCAGGTGTTTTCTTCCTTCTTATATTAATATATTATGGTTCTAAGTTTATCAGTTATGTTAATTACGCATAGTTTTCACATAACACATGATCATGAAAGTCATTAAGTTGATTTCATTTTAGCTGGCTTTGTTCCTTATTATTCTATTGAGGTAACATTTGTTATTCCCTGGGAGCATGGTTGTAATGATGCACATTGTACAAGAATGTAAACAGCAGTGTTTTTCCATAGTAGATATGGTTGTATCTCGAGGTTAGGGCTTCCCTCCCCTATGCTTGAATAGGAATGGTCAGTCACGTGGGTATCACTAGTCACTCTGGGTAAATCCGATGTTATCAGTGAGGCTGTGAAGTAAGGAACGCTGCATTTAAACAGTCTGGTAGATTATCTCGGCCAGGTCGGTTGGAGAGAATAGTTTCTGATCCACTACAAGAGACAATCCATCGTTTTAAGCAAGTACACACAATGTACACAGCGTGGTCACAAGTAAATAGACACCACCTTTTCAGAAAAAAATTAAATTTTTCAGTCATATTCACATGAATTGATATATTTATAATTTAATTAATATCTAGTCGATCTTCCTTTTGCTTCGTGGAGTTCGTTGATCCTTTGGGGGCATCGTGATAATAATCTAGTCAGCTTCTGGATACCATTTTCTTCCTGCCACTTTTGGGTGTTTCTAGCAGTGTGACACGGTGCTCCATCTTCC